ATATCAGTTAAAAAAAAAAAAAAAAAATAGTCCTAATTAAAATAAGGCCTGTAATCCCAGCACTTTGGAAGGCCGAGGCGGGCAGATCACTTGAGGTCAGGAGTTCAAGAGCAGCCTGGCCAACATGGTAAAACCCTGAACTAAATACAAAAATTAGCTGGGCGTGGTGGCAGGTGCCTGTAATCCCAGCTACTCAGTAGGCTGAGGCAGGAGAATTGCTTGAACCCGGGAGGCAGAGGTTGCAAGTGCTGGCATTACAGTTGTGAGCCGCTGTGCCTGGCCAAAATTAACTTTTTTAAGATTCCACATGTAAGTGAGATCATACAGTGTTCACCTCTTTGTGCCTAGCTTATTATTCACTTAGCATAATGTTCTCCAGTTCCATCTATGTTGTTACAAATGACAGAAGATCTTTGCTTTTAAAGCTGTATAATATTCCAGGGTGTGTGTGTGTGTGTGTGTGTGTGTGTGTGTGTGTGTGTGTGTGTGTATGTACTGTTCATCCACTGATACACACTTAGGTTGCTTCCTTGACTGTTGTGAATAACGCTGAAATGAACGTAGGAGTTCAGATATCTCTTCAACATTCTGATTTCAATTTCTTTGGATATATACCCAGATGTGGGATTGCTGGATCATAAGATAATTCTTAGTGTTAACGGTTTTTGGGTTTTGTTTGTTTGTTGAGAAAAGGTCTCATTCTGTTTCCCACTCTGGAGTGCAGTGGTACAATCTAGGCTTACTGCAACCTCCACCTCCTGGGCTTAAGCTGTCCTCTGACCTCGGCCTCCCAAAGTTCTGAGATTTCAAGTGTGAGCCACTGTGCTGGGCTCCAATTTAAAAACAAGGGAAAAATCAGCCAGTTGAAAAGTCATTTTCAATAAAGGAGAAAAAAATCACCAAATTGGTTAAATCACTTATTTTTTAAATTTTGTTCACCAGTTTAGAACATGAATGCCCGATTCTGACCTTTAAAACCACCAGTGAAGAAACCTCTGTGTGCTTGAAAAATACTAAAGTTCTAATTAATGAAGACTCTTTCCAAGCTCCTTTTGTTAAATACTGTAGAATCATTTTATCTCTAACTTATCATGGATCTATTGGGCAGTTACTGGGCTTACATACCAAAGTAAAATGCAAAGCTGGATGTGGTGGCTCGTGCTTGTAATTCTAGTTCTTTGGGAGGCTCAGCGAGGGGAGGGAGGGATCTCTTGAGCCCAGGAGTTTGAAACCAGCCTGGGCAACAGAGTGAGCCCTTGTCTCTACAAAAAAAAAAAAAATTTTAATTAACCAGGCAAGGTGGCAGGTGTCTGTAGTCACAGCCACTCTGGTGACTGAGGTGGGAAGATCACTTAAGCCCAGCAGGTCAAGGCTGCAGTGAGCTGTGATCCTGCCAGTGCACTTCAGCCTGGGTGACAGAGTGAGACCTTATCTCAATCAATAAAATGCAAATTATTTTAGTATGTGCAACTGTTTGCCAAAGTGGAATTTTTTTTTTTAATCTTTCATTCACTACTCTAAAAACAATAATTCTCTGCCCCACTGACAAGTCTCTGGCCAAATGGAGTAGACGAATATTGTGAGGTGGCCAGCAAATTCCCAGAGAGATCTTTAGCAGACCGTGGGAAGAGTGTTAGTGAGCCAAGACCCAAATTTTGAAAGGTTTCTTTTGTCTTTCACAGTTTAGAGAGCTTGCCCTTGTTAAATTATTCCCCCACCACATATGAACACACAAACACACACACACATATATGCACAGATATCCCTTAGAGAATAATTGCTGTCAAGAGGAAACAAACGTTTTAGGGAATACCCTGTATTTCATAAGCATTTATTAAGTATTTCCTGTGTACTTAATAATAAGCATGGGGCTAGGCATGGATAATAATATGGATTGACAGTGAGGAGGAAAGCTCAGGGGAAGAGATGCTGTCAGTGACTTGGCTCTCAACCCAGTTTTCCCACCACCAAATCGGAAGTCAAGGGAAAATGATCATTCCAGTTCATCCATTGTTATTCACTTAGCATGCCCCAGGTTCTATGCTAGGTCCTGGGGAGAGAGGAACAAATAAGATAAAGTGCTTATCTTCAAGGGGTTCCTAGTGTGATAGAGAAGACATGGAAGAAAGGATGACAAACTTTTTTTTTTTTTTTTTTTTTTGAGATAGAGTCTTGCTCTGTCACCAGGCTGGAGTGCAGTGGTATGATCTTGGCTCCCTGCAACCTCCACCTCCCAGGTTCAAACGATTCTCTGCCTCAGCCTCTCCTGAGTAGCTGGGACTACAGGTGTGTGACACCACGCCTGGCTAATTTTTTGTATTTTAGTAGAGACAGGGTTTCACAACATTGGCCAGGAGGTCTTTTATCTCCTGACCTGTGATCCACCTGCATTGGCCTCCTGAAGTGCTGGGATTACAGATGTGAGCCGCCGCACCTGGTGAGGGTGACAGTCTTTTGTGAGTGCCGTAATGTAAGTACTAGAAGCAGTAAGAGCCAGGAGGAATCCATAAGACAGCAGTTCTTCAAATGTGCTCCATGGGTTCCTGGGAATTCCTAAGACCCTTTCAGGGGATCTGTCAGGTCAGAACTATTTTCATAATAATATTAAAATATATTTACCTTTTTCATCATATTGATATTTGCATTGATGGTGCCAAAGCAATGGTGGATAAAACTTCTGGTACTTTATTGAGCATGAATCAAAGCATTGGCACCAAACTATACTAACAGTCATTTTATTTTTTAGTGCCACAGTGCAAGCCTGTGGCACTAAAAAATAAATATAAAAATAAACAAACATTAAGGCCAGGCAGAGTGGCTTACCCCTGTAATCCCAGCACTTTGGAAGGCTGAAATGGGAGGATCCCTTGAGCTGAGGAAGCAGAGGTTGCAGTGTGCCAAGATCATGCCACTGCACTCCAGCCTGGTCAACAGAGCAAGACCCTGTCTTAAAGAAAAAAAAAAAAATGACCAGGCATGATGGCTCATGCCTGTAATTCCAGCACTTTGAGAGGCAGAGACAGGTGGATCACTTGAGGTCAAGAGTTCAAGACCAGCCTGACCAACATAGTGAAGCCCCATCTCCACTAAAAATACAAACATTAGATGGCTGGCGCATGCCTGTAATCTCAGCTACTTGGGAGGCTGAGGCAGAAGAATTGCCTGAAACCGAGAGGTGGAGGGTGCAGTGAGCTGAGATCATGCCACTGTACTTGAGCCTGGGCAACAGAGTGAGACTCTGTCTCAAAAATAAATAAATAAATAAAGTCAGTTACACTTAAGGTCTTTAGTAAATTATGTTAGTTTTATTAAATTGTGGCCTGAGTACATTCTCTCTCACTCTCTCTTTTTTTCCTTTTGAGACTCTCATTCTCTGTCGCCCAAGCTGGAGTAGAGTGGCACAATCTCAGCTCACTGCAACCTCCGCCTCTCGGGTTCAAGCAATTCTCCTGCCTCAGCCTCTTGTGTAGCTGGGACTACAGGCACATGCCACCATGCCCAACTAATTTTTGTATTTTTAGTAGAGAGGGTATTTCACTATGTTGCCCAGACTGGTCTCAAACTCCTGGGCCTAAGGGATCCACCCACCTTGCTTCCCAAAGTGCTGGGATTACAAACATGAGCCACTGCCCCTGGCCTATTACTGTTTTATTAAAAACAGGGTCTCGGCTGCTGCCAGGAGCCCCTTACTATCAGCCATGGTTAACCCCACCAGGTTATTTGACATGGCCGTTGACGGTAAGCCTTTGGGCTGTGTTTCTTTTGAGCTGTTTGCAGACAAGATTCCAAAGACAGCAAACTTTCATGCTCTGAGCACTGGAGAGAAAGGATTTGGCTATAAAGGTTCTTGCTTTCACAGAATTATTCCAGGGTTTATGTGTCAGGGTGGTGACTTCACATGCTATAATGGCACTGGTGGCAAGTCCATCTACGGGGAGAAATTTCATCATAAAGCATACAGATCCTGGCATTTTGTCCGTGGCAAATACTGGACCCAACACAAATGGTTCCCAGTTTTTCATCTGCACTGCCAAGACTTAAGTGGCTGGATGGCAAGCATGTGGTTTTTGGCAAAGTGAAAGAAGGCATGAATATTGTGGAGGCCATGGAGCTCTTTGGGTCCAGGAATGGCAAGACCAGCAAGATCACCATTGCTGACTGTGGACAACTCTAAAGTTTGATTTGTGTTTTATCTTAACCACCAGACCATTCCTTCTGCAGCTCAGGCAAGCACCCCTCCACTCCATTTGCTCAGAGTATCCTAGAATCTTTATGCTTTCACTGCAGTTCCCTTTGGGTTCCATGTTTTCCTTGTGCCCTGTGTGCCCTTCCATGCCTAACTGGATTGCAGAGTTAAGTTTATGGTTATGAAATCAAAACAAACAAATAAAAAAAAAACCGGGTCACACTCTGTTACCTAGGCAGGAGTACAGTGTCCCGATCATGGCTCACAACAGCCTCGAACTCCTGGGCTCAAGCGATCCTCCCGTTTCAGCTTCCCGGGCAGCTGAGACTACGGACACACACCACCATGCCAGGCTAACTTTTATTTTTATAGAGACGGGAGTTTCGTTTGCCCAGGTTGATCTGAAACTCCCGGCTTCAAGCAGTCCTCCCACCTGGAGTTCCCAAATTGCTGGGATTACAGGCGTGAGCCACCATGGCCAGTCGCCCCCAGTTTTGATAGCTAAAGTTAACGCGAGTGGCGATGTTATACGTCTTAGAAATAGGAAGCCCCGGCAACCCCTCCAAGGGCACTTGGTGATTTTTTTTCACTAGCAAACCAAAATTGCGTCTCCGAATGAGCTCTCTTTCACAGAATGTACTTGGAGCCAGGTCCTAGAATAACTCCCTGAGGAAAGAGGCTGAGTTGTTTTGTCTGAGGTCCTGGCACCCTGCACTGCGAAGGAATACTCAGCAGGCGTTAGCAATGTGTTAATGGACAGAGAGACACACATGTCGAACGCTCCTCGTTGGCTCCCGCTCCGCCTCCCCTCCGCTCAGCGGCTCGCGCCTCCACTCCGTCATCTATCGCTCGGCGCTCGTCCCTTCTCAGTGGGTCTGCTCTGCGCTTTCCATCGAGCGTCTCGGCCATCACGCGCCTGCGCCTTTGGGCTGTCAGTCAGAGGCGGCGTGTGGAGCGCTGGGAGCGGTTGTGGCGTGCGGGGAACTGAGGTATAGCTGTGACTTCTGCCCTGCCAGGCCGCGCACGGGCTGGCTGACCCCGGTGAGCAGCGCGGTGGGGCCACTCATCTGAGGGAGGCGGGCTTGTCGAACTGGGCCGAGTTGGACCCGAAAGGGTAGGAAGGGGTGCTGAGCTCCGAAGTCGCCAACTTGACTCCCTGCTCCACCCGACCGTGTGTCTGTGTCCGAAGGAGAGAGGAGGTTGGTGGAGAATCCGAGCCAACCACCTGATGCAACAGATGGAGAAACTAAGTTTCTAATCTCAGCTACTCGAGAGTCTGAGGCAGGAGAATCGTTTGAACCCAGGAGGCGGAGGTTGCCGTGAGCCGAATTCACGCCACTGCACTCCAGCCTGGGCAACAGTGAGACTCCGTTTCAAAAAAAAAAAGGAAAGAAAGAAAAGAAAGAAACGAAGTGTCAGGGAGGGGAGGTTCTGTTGAGATTCACAGCGAGTGAGCACTAGACCCGGTACCAGGCGCCTTTAGCACTATGCCTGCACTTTTTCAACCTAAGTCCCTCATTCATTTATTCAGCCTTCCTGTAGTTGTTTGGATGCAGGGCAGTGAACAAGGAGAAATGCAGTGAGATCTCTGCCTTCAGGCAGCGCATGTGGAATGGCAGACCAATTCTGATGCAGTTTTCTTACGTATTTACAACTGGAAAAGACATGAATGCTATGATGCATGCATGTCTGAGATGCCGTGACCACCCGCTCTAAAGCTTGGGAGGCAGCGAGACTGGTTGCCATGATTCCCATCACCCTTAATCGTGGCAGTGACATGAGCATTTGACAGTCTGCCTGCTATCATGATTAGTTATGTTTGTGATAACTATTCACGTTTCCTAGGTTGCCTTTCTTCACACATGGCCTCCTTGAGAGCCAGAACCTCAGTTCCTAGTGACCTGGGTTCTAGTGCCCTTGTGCACTGTTTGAGTTGGACTCTTAGACATTTGTGAAGTTCACAGGTCCTCGTTCCATGCTGATTTCTGGCATCTAACAGGGAATACAGTGATGATCCACACACAGTCCAAGAAAGTCACTCTTAAATAGACTGTTGTACAGACATTTAAGAGACATCAATGTTAAACTTAAGTAGACATTTAAACACATATGTGCAATGAAACCCTGTAAAGGCTAAGATAATCTGCACATGGCAGAGTGGAAGCACTTTGGGAAAAGGAGTCACTTCTGGAAGGATGGGGAGGGTTAGGAATGGCTTTGTAGACAAGAGGATTCTTGAGCTATCTTCAAAGGGTAGTAGGTGATTACTAGACATAAGAGAAAGGCAGACTAGAAAGGAACAGTAGCAGTGCAGAGACCAGAATTATGAAGCAGCATGATTCAGTTAGTACAGAATCCCTAATCTAGTCTCTGTCTAATAAAGCAACTGCTTATATTGTGCTTCTCATAGGATGGGCATTATTTTGTCTGCTTTACATAGAATAACGAATTTAATCTTTTTTTTTTTTTTTTTTTTTTTTTTTTGAGACGGAGTCTTGCTCTGTTGCTTGGCTGGAGTACAGTGGCCCAATCTTGGCTCACTGCAACCTCCGCCTCCTGGATTCCAGCAATTCTCCTGCCTCAGCCTCCCAAGTAGCTAGGACTACAGACGTGCGCCACCACATCCAGCTGATTTTTGTATTTTTAGTAGAGATGGGGTTTCACCATGTTAGCTAGGATGGTCTCAATCTCCTGACCTCATGATCTGCCTGCCTCCGCTTCCCAAAGTGTTGGGATTACAGGCGTGAGCCACCAAGCCCAGCCTGAATTTAATCTTAACAACAACTCTGTGAAGTGAAACTATAATTATTCCCATCTTATAAAATGCAAACAACTGAGGCATAGAGAAGTTATGTAGTTTGCCATAGTTCGCACAGCTGATAATAAATAGTAGAGCTAGAATTCAGACCTAGGCATTCTGGCTTTAGGGTCTGTGAACCTAACCACTGGGCTTCCTTCTAGAAGCTGAGGACACTATGAGTTTTAAATGTCAGGCTCCTGATCACACCACTTATGAGTGGTAGAATCATAACTTAAACTCTTCTTTTGACTCTTCTTTTTTTTGAGACAGGGTCTCACTGTTGCCCAGGCTAGAATGCAGTGGTGTATAGCCTTGACCTCCCAGGCTTAGGTGATTCTCCCACCTCAGCCTCCCGGGTATCTGGGACTATAGGCATGCACTACCACGCCTGACTAATTGTTTGTATTTTTTATAGAGATGGGGTCTCGCCATGTTGCCCAGGCTGTTCTGGAATTCCTGGGCTCAAGCAATCCTCCCATCTTGGCCTCCCAAGGTGCTGGGAGCATGAGTCACTTTTTTTTATTTGAGATTCAGTCTCTCTTTTGTCCGCCAGGCTGGAATGCCACGGCATGATCTCCGCTCACTGCAACCTCCACCTCCTAGGTTCAAGCAATTCTCCTGTCTCAGCCTCCAGAGTAGCTGGGATTACACGCGTCTGCCACTACGCCCAGCTAATTTTTGTAGTTTTAGTAGAGATGGAGTTTCACCGTTTTTGCCAGGGTGGTCTTGAACTCCTGACCTCAGGTGATTCACCCACCTTGGCCTCCCAGGGTGCTGGGATTACACGCATGAGCCACCGCTTCCAGCCCATTTTTTGACTCCTCTTTTTTTAAGATGGAGTCTTGATCTGTCGCCCAGGCTGGAGTGCAGGTTGTACCATCTCAGCTCACTGCAACTTCCGCCTCTGGGGTTCAGGTGATTCTCCTGCCTCAGCCTCCTGAGCACCTAGGATTACTGGTTCTCGCCACCATGCCTGACTAATTTTTAAAATATTTTTAGTAGGGACGAGGTTTCACCAGGCTGCTCTTGAGCTCCTGACCTCAGATGATCCGTCCACCATACCCTGCCCATCCTTTGACTCTTTTTTTTTTTTTTTTTGAGACGGAGTTTCGCTCTTGTTACCCAGGCTGGAGTGCAATGGCGCGATCTCGGCTCACCGCAACCTCCGCCTCCTGGGCTCAGGCAATTCTCCTGCCTCAGCCTCCTAAGTAGCTGGGATTACAGGCATGCGCCACCACGCCCAGCTAGTTTTTTTGTATTTTTAGTAGAGACGGGGTTTCACCATGTTGACCAGGATGGTCTCGATCTTTCGACCTCGTGATCCACCCGCCTCGGCCTCCCAAAGTGCTGGGATTACAGGCTTGAGCCACCGCGCCCGGCCTCCATCCTTTGACTCTTAAGGGTCCAGTGCTCTTCATAATAACATTAGATGTAGTGAATGTTATATAACGCCAAAGTGTAAGTAAATTCCAGTCTGAGGCAATGCTTGCTAGAATCAAAATGACCATGTCTTTACATTGTGAATGTTATGCAAGAGCCTTCACTTTATGCCTTGGATATAGTAGGTGGTAAGTGCTGCATGTTAGATATTGAAGTGTTTGGTGGGGGCGGTGGGGGGGGTCCAGGAATGATTATAATTATAGTAAAGTTGCAACATTATTTGGCAATTTGATGTCCAATAGTTTCTTTTGAATGTTACATTTTAACATTTACTTTTAAAATTACATCATTGTTGTAAATCAGAGAAGAGTACTTTCAGTTTAAATCATTAAAGATTGGTCAGGCGCAGGAGTTCATGCCTCTAATCCCAGCACTTTGGGAGGCCCAGGGAGGAGGCTTGAGGCCAGGAGTTTGAGACCAGCCTGGGCAGCATAGTGAAACCTCATCTCTATAAAATATTAATTAAAAGAATTAGCCAGGCGGCCAGGCACGGTGGCTCATGCCTGTAATCCTAACACTTTGGGAGACCAAGGCGGGTGGATCACCTGAGGTTGGGAGTTTGAGACCAGCCTAACCAACATGGAAAAACCCCGTCTCTACTAAAAATGCAAAATTAGGCAGGCATGGTGGCACATGTCTGTAGTCCAAGCTACTCGGGAGAGGCTGAGGCAGGAGAATTGCTTGAACCTGGGAGGCGGAGGTTATAGTGAGCCGAGATCGTGCCACTGCACTCCAGCCTGGGCAACACGAGTGAAACTCTATCTTGTTAAAAAAAAAAAAAAAAAAAAAGGAATTAGCCAGGCATGGTGGCACCCACCTGTTGTCCCAGCTACTCCAGAGGCTGGGGCAGGAAGTCAAGGCTGCAATGAGCCATGATCATGCCACTGCACTTCCAGACTGGGCAACGAAGCGAGAGCCTGTCTTCTAAATAAATAAATAGACTGGGCGTGTTGGCTCATGCCTGTAATCCTAGCACTTTGGGAGGCCAAATCAGGTGGATCACCTGAGGTTAGGAGTTTGAGACCAACCTGGCCAGCATGGTGAAACCCCATCTCTTGGCCGGGCGCGGTGGCTCAAGCCTGTAATCCCAGCACTTTGGGAGGCCGAGGCGGGTGGATCACGAGGTCAAGAGATCAAGACCATCCTGGTCAACATGGTGAAACCCCGTCTCTACTAAAAATACAAAAAAAAATGAGCTGGGCATGGTGGCGCGTGCCTGTAATCCCAGCTACTCAGGAGGCTGAGGCAGGAGAATTGCCTGAACCCGGGAGGCGGAGGTTGCGGTGAGCCGAGATCACGCCATTGCACTCCAGCCTGGGTAACAAGAGCGAAACTCCGTCTCAAAAAAAAAAAAAGAAACCCCATCTCTACTAAAAATACAAAATTATCCAGGCCTGGTGGCCCATGCCTGTAATCCTAGCTACTCGGGAGGCTGAGGCAGAAGAATCACTTGAACCTGGGAGGCGGAGGTTGCAGTGAGCCAAGATTGCGCCATGGCACTCCAGCCTGTGTGACAAGAGTGAAACTCCATCTCTAAAAATAAATAAGTATTTATGACCTTTTACTGTGCCTCTGGTCTGTGGTAGTTTCTGTAAAGAGATTATTTTCAAAGTCAAATAGGTTTGTTTATTACCTTGAGTTTGAAAAACAGGAATTAACAATTTGGTTTTTTTTTTTTTGAGACGGAGTTTTGCTGTTGTTACCCAGGCTGGAGTGCAATGGCGCGATCTCGGCTCACCGCAACCTCCACCTCCTGGGTTCAGGCAATTCTCCTGCCTCAGCCTCCTGAGTAGCTGGGATTACAGGCACGCGCCACCACGCCCAGCTAGTTTTTTGTATTTTTAGTAGAGACGGGGTTTCACCATGTTGACCAGGATGGTCTCGATCTCTCGACCTCGTGATCCACCCGCCTCGGCCTCCCAAAGTGCTGGGATTACAGGCTTGAGCCACCGTGCCCGGCAATTTGGTTTGTTTTTAATAATTGGGTTCTGTAAATCTAGGTTCAGATACAACCCTATGTTTGTGTTTATAGTGATATCTTTAATAATTGGAGGAATAAGAAGGTGAGCCGATGGCTGAATTATTGGAGGAGTCTTAATACTTTTATACTTTTCAAAAGCCTAACATGCTTGGGTTTCTGCTGTTAATTCTAGTAGTCAGACATCTTTTAATATTTTCCTTCTTTTTTTTTTTTGAGACAAGAGCTTACTCTGTCACACAGGTTAGAGTGCAGTGGTGCAATCTTGGCTCACTGTAATACCTGCCTCCCAAGGCTCAAGGGATCCTCCCACTTAAGCCTCCCAAATAGCTGGAACCACAGGCACGAGCCACCATGCCTGGCTAATTTGTTGCATTTTTGGTAGAGATGGGGTCTTGCATGTTGCCCAGGCTGGGCTTGAACTCCTGAGCTCAGATGATCCATGCACCTCAGCCTCCTAAAGTGCTGGGATTAACAGATGTGAGCCACCTCACCCGGCCTAATATTTTCTTTTTTTTTTTTTTTTTTTTTTTTGAGGCGGAGTTTCGCTCTTGTTACCCAGGCTGGAGTGCAATGGCGCGATCTCGGCTCACCGCAACCTCCGCCTCCTGGGTTCAGGCAATTCTCCTGCCTCAGCCTCCTGAGTAGCTGGGATTACAGGCATGCACCACCATGCCCAGCTAATTTTTTTGTATTTTTAGTAGAGACGGGGTTTCACCATGTTGACCAGGATGGTCTCGATCTCTTGACCTCGTGATCCACCCGCCTCGGCCTCCCAAAGTGCTGGGATTACAGGCGTGAGCCACCGCGCCCGGCCCCAGCCTAATATTTTCAAAAAATAAAAATTCACACATCAGAAGCCCACTTGATAAACTCTTACTTCTTCAGAGTCAGCTCAAGCATCCCTTCTTGTGAAACCTTCCCCGTTTTCAAAGAAAACTAGGTGTTCCCTTTGTTGTATGCCCATTGCATCTTTGATATATTTCTGCTCTGGTACTAATGACATATATTGTGATTTACTGGATTTGTCTTCTCCACTTAATTGTAAGTAACTCAAGGGCAAGGGCCAGATTTTTTTTTTCATTCATACCCTCCCACTTTTACCAAGGATAGAACTGAGAATATGTATTGGTAGACATAATGTTTATCTGCAATTAAGCTTTTCTTACTCTGATTGCTAGAGTTGGGAGTTATACATTTGACATAGTGGGTGTCAGTAACCTAAATAAAAATAGGCTAGTACTGTGTGTGCCTTGATTTTTGTTACATTGGTTTTTTTCTGTTAATTGTTTTTTCTGTACTTGTAGCTTGTAAACATGGAATTTCAAGCAGTGGTGATGGCAGTAGGTGGGGGATCTCGGATGACAGACCTAACTTCCAGCATTCCCAAACCTCTGCTTCCAGTTGGGAACAAACCTTTAATTTGGTACCCGTTGAACCTGCTTGAGCGCGTTGGATTTGAAGGTGAGCTATGACAAAGTGAACTGTGAACTCATAAAACTTTTAGGGGATTGATCTTCATGATTTGTCAGCATTATAAGAGTGAGAGAGGGTAACCAGAATTCATTGACTGAAGATTGGCCTCTTTAAAAAAGGAATGTAGGAGTACTCTATTGTTGTGTGAAAAAGGTTGAGAGGATAGCACTAAGTGTTGATGTTATGGAGCTGATGTCCAATATGATCCAAGATGAAGCCTGTATGAATATCAGAAAGAGCAGATTGTGACTCTGGTTTCTTTTTTTTTTTTTTTTTTTTTTTTTTTTTTGGAGTCGGGAGTTTCGCTCTTGTTACCCAGGCTCGAGTACAATGGCGCGATCTCGGCTCATTGCAACCTCTGCCTCCTGGGTTCAGGCAATTCTCCTGCCTCAGCCTCCTGAGTAGTTAGGATTACAGGCACGTGCCACCAAGCTAATTTTTTGTATTTTTTTAGTAGAGATGGGGTTTCACCATGTTGACCAGGATGGTCTCGATCTCTTGACCTCGTGATCCACCTGCCTCGGCCTCCCAAAGTTCTGGGATTACAGGTGTGAGCCACCGCGTCCCACCAGATTGTGACTCTTAAATGCCTCATAGTCGGTAGTTGCTGAGAATCTATTATGTACTAGGTAATATCTCTATTATAAAAAAAAAAAAAAAACTTAAAACATATATATATTATGTACCAGGTAATAGAGATACAAAGTACCAGGTTATATATTAAGCATGGAGGTACAGAACTGAAAAGACAGCTCAGGCCCTGACTTCTAGAACCTTAAAATCTAGTGATTCTTTCTACTTTTGCTTGGGTAACTAGGTAGACGATTATGCCATGAAGTAGGAAAAGGAATAGGAAACAAGGGACAGGTTTTAATGAAAATAATGAGTTCAGCTTTGGTCACATTGAGTTTGAGGTGCCCTCTATTTAGATACAGTAAATCAGGGTGCCAAAGCTTGAGGCCTAGTCTTGTGATCCATTGTTCATTCCATTATTACAGTTGCCTCTGATAGGAAGGGGTGATAGCTTGATAGCTCTTTCTTTGTATTGAATGAATTTAAAATGTTGTAGTCTTACCCTGTTGCCCAGGTTGGAGTGCAGTGGCATGATCTCAGCTTATTACAACTTTCACCTCCCAGGTTTAAGCAATCCTCCTGCCGTAGTCTCCCAAGAACCTAGGACTACAGGCATGTGACACCACTCCCAGCTTATATTTTTGTATTTTTAATAGAGACAGGGTTTCGCCATATTGGCCAGGCTGGTCTTGAACTTCTGACCTCAAGTGATCTGCATGTCTCTGTCTCAGTCTTTTTTTTTTTTTTTTTCCGAGACGGAGTTTCGCTCTTGTTACCCAGGCTGGAGTGCAATGGCGCGATCTCAGCTCACCGCAACCTCCGCCTCCTGGGTTCAGGCAATTCTCCTGCCTCAGCATCCTGAGTAGCTGGGATTACAGGCATGTGCCACCATGCCCAGCTACTTTTTTGTATTTTTAGTAGAGACGGGGTTTCACCATGTTGACCAGGATGGTCTTGATCTCTTGACCTCGTGATCCACCCGCCTCGGCCTCCCAAAGTGCTGGGATTACAGGCTTGAGCCACCGTGCCCGGCCTCAGTCTTTTAAAGTACTGGGATTATAGGCGGGAGCCACCACACATGGTCCCCTTTTTTTGAGACAGGGTCTTGCTCTGTCACCCAAGACTGGAGTACAGTGGCATGATTTCAGCTCATTGCAACCTCTGCCTCCTGGGCTCAAGTGATCCTTCCATGGTAGGTTGCCTTCCAAGTAGCTAGGACTATATGCACACCACCATTCCTGCATATTTTTCTTTTTTTTTTTCTTTTGGCGGAGACAGGGTTTCACCATGTTACCCAGGCTGGTCTTGCATTCCTGGGCTGAAGTTATCCAACTGCCTTCGTTTCCCAAAGTGCTGGGATTACGGGTGTGAGCCACAGCACTCAGTCCCCATTTGTATTTTTGATGAACATTCTTCTGAATTCTTCATATCAAGGAGAAGTGGCATGCAATGTATTAAAGTGTGGGCACCAGTCATATAGACCTGAGTTGTTTTTTTTTTCAGACAGACTTACTCTGTTGCCCAGGCTGGAGTGCAATGGGGTGATCTTGGCTCACTGCAGCCTCCACCTCCTGGACTCAAGCAATCCTCCCACTTAAACCTCCAGTTTTTTGGAGTTTTTTGTAGAGAAAAGGTTTTGCTATGTTGCCCAGGCTGGTCTTGAACTCCTGGGCTCAAGTGATCCACCTGCCTTGGCTCCCAAAGTGATTTACAAAAGATTCACAGGCGTGAGGCGCTACACCCAGCCAGCTTTATGTCTTTTAATCCAGAGTTCCTCATTTGTAAGATGAGATTGTTGTAAGAATTAATTGGGGGAGGCCAGACGCAGTGGTTCACACCTGTAATCTTAACACTTTGGGAGGCCAAGTCTAGTGGATCGAACCCAGGAGTTGGAGACCAGCCTGAGCAACATAGTGAAACCTCATCTTTACAGAAAACACAAAAATTAACCAAGCATGGTGGCACATGCCTGTAGTCCCAGCTTGAGAAGCTGAGGTGGGAGAGGATTGCCTGACCTCTGAAGTTGAGGCTGCAGTGAGCCAGTGATCATGCCACTGCACTCCAACCTGGGTGGCAAAGTGAGACCCTGTCTGTTTGAGGAAAAAAAAAAAAAAAGAAGAATTATTATTTAGGGGGAATGCAGGTAAAACACATTGAAAAGCGCAATAATATTAGCAGTTATTATTACACCTAGAAATAGACCAAATCTAATTAAAACACTGAAACTACCATCTGTGTGAATAAGTTTTTGTCTTTCTATCTTTTTTTCTTTTGTCCTATAGAAGTCATTGTGGTTACGACCAGGGATGTTCAAAAGGCTCTATGTGCAGAATTCAAGATGAAAATAAAGCCAGATGTTGTGTGTATTCCTGATGATGCTGACATGGGAACTGCAGATTCTTTGCGCTACATATATCCAAAACTTAAGGTGAAAAGCTATTTTTTGACTCTTCTTGTTTATTGAAGATAAATAGTATCTTATTTTCCCAGTGTATTATAATTTTTGTTTTTTGTTTTTTTGAGACAGAGTCTTGCTCTGTCACCCCGGCTGGAGTGCAGTGGTATGATCTCGGCTCACTGCAACCTCCACCCCCCAGCTTCAGGTGATTCTCCTGCCTCAGCCTCCCAAGAAGCTGGGATTACCACGTGTGTGTCACCATGCCTGGCTAATTTGGTATTTTTTGTAGAGACGGGATTTTACCATGTTGCCCAGGCTTATCTCAAACTCCTGACCTCAGGTGATCCTCCTGCCTCAGCCTCCCAAAGTGCTGGGATCACAGACGTGAAGCACCATCCCTGGCCCTCAGTGCATTATAGTTTATAAAACTTTTTTCTAATATATTTTTATATCACATATTTTGTTACTCATGTACTCTTCAATTTCTCTTTGATTTGGTTACTAGTAAAGATGTAGATAAAGGCCGGGCGCGGTGGCTCAAGCCTGTAATCCCAGCACTTTGAGAGGCCGAGGTGGGTGGATCACAAGGTCGAGAGATCGAGACCAACCTGGTCAACATGGTGAAACCCCGTCTCTACTAAAAAAAATAAAAATAAAAATAAATAAAAAAAAATAAAAAAAGATGTAGATATTCATTCATCATAGCCACTGGTTTCCAGTGTTTTTGAGTTATAGCACATTTTTATTAAAAAAAAAAAAAAAAAAGACATATTCTAGGCCAGGCACACTGGCTCATGCCCGTAATCACAGCACTTTGGGAGGTCCAGGCAGATGGATCATTTGAGGTCAGGAGTTCAAGACCAGCCTGGCCAACATGGTGAAACCCTGTCTCTACTAAAAACACAAAAATTAGCTGGGTGTGGTGACATGTACTGTAATCCTGGCTACTGGGGAAGCTGAGAAAGGAGAATCACATGAACTCATAAGGTGGTGGTTGCAGTGAGCCAAGATCACACCACTGCACACCAGGCTGGGCAACAGTGAGAACCTATCTCAAAAAAACAAAGATACTCAAAATGTACTTCAAAAGATTCTATATATACAAAATTCATGAACAAGCAATGTTAATATATAAATCAGAGGAGCAGTTGACTCTGCAGTTGAGGATTGACTAGAAAGAAGCACAGAGGAACGTTAAAAAATTCATAGACATCCCATGTAATATTTGAACTTTTAGTTATCTTTGGTTAAGAAACTAACGAGCATACAGATATGAGAACATAGTCTCCCCAATCGTTTGTGGCCATAAGCTGAGAAAGATGCACTATAGATTGTTCTAAAATTGTTTTTCTTTGGGAAAAATTCAGTTATTGTGATGTTGCCATATTACTTGAAATGGGAGGCAGACTTTCTTCTGTTATTTCTGGGGACTTAGCAGATGTGTTATTTTCAACCTACTTTTGTACTATAAAACAAAAAATTCAAATATGTAAATGGCCTTTCCCCCCCTTTTATTGGGGAATAATTTATACACAGTAAAATGCACAGATAGTAAATATACACCTAGATTATCCAAATCTAGAACAATTCCATCACTCCTGAAAGTTCCTTTGTGCTTCTGCTAGTATGTCTCCCATCTGCAGAGTCCACTACTCTTCTTTTTCTATCACTATATATTAATTTTGTTTATGAACTTCATATAAATGGAATCATACAATTTTGTTCTGGCTTCTTTTGTTCAACTTTTTCAGATTCATTCATGTTATTGAAAGTATAACTAGGCCGGGCACAGTGGCTCACACCTGTAATCCCAGCACTTTGGGAGGCCGAGGTGGGTGGATTGCAAGGTCAAGAGATTGAGACCATCCTGGCCAACGTGGTGAAACCCTGTCTCTACTAAAAAAAATACAAAAATTAGCTGGTCATGGTGGTGCGTGCCTGTAGTCCCAGCTACTTGGGAGGCTGAGGCAGGAGAATTGCTTGAACCCGGGAGGCAGAGGTTGCAGTGAGCCAAGGTGATGCCACTGTACTCCATCCTGGTGACAGAGAAAGACTCTGTCTCAAAAAAAAAAAAGAAAGTATAACTAAATCTGTTCCTTTTTATGCTGAGTAGCATTTCATTGAATGAATATACTACTATTTATTTATCTGTCCTCCTATTAACAGTTATTTGGATTGTTTCTAATTTTCGGCTATTATGCATAAAGGTACTGTGAGCATTGTTCTGCAGGTCTTTTTGTGAAAATATTCTAGGCTGTAGGGTTTACTTGATTAGAAACTACAAGTATTCTAAAGTGGCTGTAGCATTTTATGTTTTCATCAACAGTTTATAAGAGTTGTATTTGCTTCACATCTTCATCAACACTTGGTGTTGTCAGTCTTTTTAATTTTAACCTACTAGTAGGTATGTATGTAGTGGTATCTCATTGTGGTTTTAATTTACATTTCCCTGATGGTAATGATGCTGACCACCTTTTCATGTGTTTATTGGCCATTTATATATGTTCATGAAATGTCTGTTCAAAGCATTTATCTGTTTTTTAATTCAGTTGTTTGCCTTTTTATTATTGATTATAGGAATTCTTTTTTTTTTTTTTAACTTCCAGTTGATTTGCAAGGAATTCTTAGTATAGTCTAGATGCAAGTCTTCTGTAAGATATGTGTTGTGAATATTTTCTGCCAGTCTGTGACTTGTCTTTTTGTTTAATGGTATCTCTTGAAGAAAAGTTTTTTAATGTTGATGAAATCTAAATCACTGATTTTTTTTCTTTTATAGTTATTGCTTTTTGTGTCCAGTCTAAGAAATCTCTGCCCACCTGACCTTTATGTAGATGTTCTTTTAGGTTTTGTCTTTGTTTTGTATTCTTTTTGAGACACAGTCTTGCTCTGTCACCCAGGCTGAGTGCAGTGGTGTGATCACCACCTCCACTGCACCTCCTTCGCTGCACCACCTCACTGCAATCTCCACCTCCCAGGTTCAAGTGATTCCCATGCCTCAGCCTCCCGAGTAGCTGGGATTATAGGCATGTGCCAACACCTGGCTAATTTTTTAAAAGTTTTACTAGAGACAGGGTTTCACCATGTTGGCCAGGCTGGTCTTGTCCTGGGTTCAAGCAATCCACCCACCTTGGCCTCCCAAAGTGTTAGGATTACACACATTAGCCACCATACCCAGCTCGGATTTGACAGCTTAATACGGAATCTTTTGATCCTTGAACATGCTATATAGTCATGTGCCACATAATGATGTTTTGGTCAATGGCCACATACGTATATATAGGAGTGTGGTCCCATAAGATTGTAATACTGTATTTTTACTGTACCTTTTCTAAGTTTAGATATATTAAATACATAAATACTTTCCATTGTGTTACAATTACCTACAGTATTTGGTATAATAACATGTTATACAGGTTTGTAGACTAGGAGCAATAGGCTATACCATGTAGCCTAGGTATGTAGTAGGCTATACTGTCTAGGTTTTTGTAGGTACATTCTATGATGTTCACACAGCAAAATCATATAACAGCGCATTTCTCAGAACATATTGCTATCATTAAGTAACATGTGATGTGTATCTATTTATTGTTTCCTTTAATTTCTCTCAACTGAGTTTTAGAATTTTCAGTGATTTTATATGTGTATATATATATATACTTTTTTTTTTTTTCCTTGCGACAGTCTCACTCTGTTGTCCAGGCTGGAGTGCAGTGGTGTGATCAAAGCTCACTGCAGACTTGACCTCCTGGGCTCAAGTGATCCTCACCTCAGCCTCTCAAGTAGATGGGACTACATGTCCAGCTAATTTTTAAAATTTTAATTTTAGTAGAGATGCCTCACTATGTTGCTCAGGCTAGTTTTAAACTCCTGGGCTCAAGCTGTCCTCCCACCTCAGCCTCCTAAAGTGCTGGGATTACAGGAATGAGCCACCACACCCAGCCCAGTGTAGAGATTTTGAACATGTCTTGATAAATTTATTCCTAGGCAAATATTTTTAATGATATTGTAATTGGTATTTTTTCTATTTTCAATTGTTTATTGCTTGTATATAGAAATACAATTGATTTCTGTATTTTGGCATTATACCCTGTGGCCTTTTAAATTATAGATTCGTTTAGGACCTTATCATCGTATTGCCTGCAAATAAAAACAGTATTTTATCTTCCTTCTTAATCTTTATTTTTTTTAAAAAATTCAATTAATTTTATTTTTGAAACAATTTTGCTCTGTCACCCAGGCTAGTGTGCAGTTGTGTGGTCATGGCTCACTATAGCCCCAGAATCCTGGGCCCAAGTTGTCCTCCCACCTCAGCCTCCCAAATAACTAAGTAACTGGGACTACAGGCATGTGCCACCATGCCCAACTAATTTTTTTTTTTTTTTGAGACAGGGTCTTACTTTATTGCCCAGACTGGAATGCAGTGGCTCAATCACGGTTCACTGTAACCTCGATCTCCCCAGGCTCAGGTGATCTTCCTACCTAAACTTCTCAAGTAGCTGAGACTACAGGCATACACCACCACACCTGGACTTTTTTTTTTTTTTTTTTTTTTTGTAGTGACAGGGTCTCAGTATATTGCCCAAGCCTGGTCTGGGACTCTTGGGCAGAAGTGATTCCCTCCACCTTGCCCTCTCAAAATGCTGTAAATACGGGTGTAAGCCACCATGCCTAGCTCTTTTAAAAAAAAGAATTGTCTTATCGCCCTGGCCAGGACTCCCAGTACAATGTATATAAGCATTTCCATTCACTTTTGACCTTCCTTTCTGCTTTTCTCTCAAGTAGATTTTGGGAGCTTCTGATGTGGGTGGGGGCTTCCAGTACAATAATGTCGAGTGTTGCTTTCTGGAGTATAGCTGCTTATTTGTTTAGAGACTATACGGGGAATTCCATTAGAGTAATAAGAAGAAGATTCTCATCAAGTGTGTAGTTCAGCGGTATTAAGCACATTTATATTGTCGTGCAACCATTACCACTCTCCATCTCTATAACCTTCATCTTATAAAACTGAAACTCTATTCCCCATTAAGTAT